TCTCTACTACGTCTAGCTCGCGCCTTGAAGTCCCAGCTCCCGGCTGATCAATACTTTGAGAAGGTTCATAATCTCCTACGCCAAAGGACTCGGTCCTCTTTCGTTTCTTGTTTGGACGTCCTTGTTCGGACGGAGCCTCAGCCAGATCTAGTAGGTCCATTAGTCCGGTAATTTATCCGATGCTGCTATCTTTTCGCATACCATTGATAACTTCGATAGGTGCCACAAGGGCATGGGCTGGGATGTCGACATCTGAATTCGCCGGAGAGCTGACTCCTGAATCACGGTAGGGTGTCATCGTCCCACTCCGTCTTGACGTATGGTGGACAGGTCGAGGAAAGGCAAAAGTGACATGATGGGCTGCGTCGGTGGTCCGGTGCGGACGAGAAGTTCCACCAAGAGAAAAGCCTGTCCATGAGTACTTAGAATAGCTCTCGATGGCCACGGGTGAAGCAGTACCTGAGGCGATGATGGAATTTAGACTCGGGAGAGTGTTGGAATCTGCTCGGTGGCTGGATGGTAGAGCAGCTAAGGGCTTCGTTAAACATGTACTTGGCTCGACGAGATAGGGTAGACTACCATTTGAAGGAGTTGGTGGACTTGATGAACTGTGGTCCGAGAGCCCGTTGGTGGCGGCGCGAGGCGAAACTAGCGATGGGCGAGTAGCGCTCGGAGGGTCTGCTGGCCTCCCGTTTGATCGTCGCAGTTCACTGAGGATATCGTTAAGAGTAGTTTGCATGACTGTCTGGTTGTTTTTGACTGTCGCGATTTCGTTTTCGACCTCCGTTAACCGTCTTCACAGGGACCGAGGAGGGTTAATTTGTCAATCACCGGCCACATAAATTCAAACCCGGGAGGTAGGCTGGGAATACTTACTCCAAGGAGCTACTGTCCATTTGATCGGGTTTGGCAACCTTTTCAAAAACACAAGCTTGTCCTGACAGTCTACATCTTGTGCATGGTGGATTGTCTGGCCCGTCACACCGCATCTAGTAACACTATCGTCAAGAAAAGTAGATAGGACATATCCAGGCGAGTGCTCACCTTTTGTCTGCGACAGCTGGTACATGCTCTGAAAGAAGCACGTGAAATACGTTAGACTGGGTGCAGTGGCACTAGAG